CGCAAAAGGCCCCGATGGTGTCCATTTCACTGCCTGCATGGACAGCCACGCGGAACTCTTTTTTTGTGTGACCTTCGGTTACTTATTGTGCGTTATTGTTATTGATTTTTATTATTATTTAGAAAATATATTGCTCAACAACAACATTTTAAGACTTCCGTTTTATATTTCTGCCTAATCCACGACGATGGCGCAAACATCTCAATCCACCACTAGGTGGTGCTGTCCACTCCGTACATTATTTTTTGCCTCAGTCAGTCCGTAGTACTAGATAGCCATTGCCGCCAAAACGTATGTGGACATTCACACTTAAAATTATGATTTTTAAATGGATTGAATAACAAAATTTGAAATTATCTGAGAACAAATTATATTACAGCTTTTCTTAAAATCTGAATTTTATGAACCATATTTACTTTTTAACCAGCTAACGTTAGTGTCAGTGAGATGACCCCCCCCATGCAAGTTTAGGCATGCCACACTGATGTCTTGATGTGTGTGTGTGTGTGAGAGAGAGAGAGAGTCTGTGCTTGTGGTAGGTGGGGCTGTTAGGTGTACTGTCAAAACTTGCTTTCCTGGTCCTTGAGTTGGCTGAGATTACTTTTGTTTTAAAGGTTCAAACAGCTTACTGAAATACCAGTCTGCTCCTCCAGCCACTTTTATTCCCAACAAACCTTTTAGCACTTTCAGAAGATGTCCATCACGGTGTATTACAGCAGTGTGAGTGGCTCTAGAGAGGTGTGTATCTGTATTTCTGACTGCTCAGGATGTGTCTAGCCGTTGATAGGCCTACTTGCTTTTTGAAACTATATGATATAAACTGATATTTTGAAGAGTACCTATTTTTTGTGTTTACATGCTATACAGTCGTCTTATGTCAAATTAGATTAGTGAAGTTAACTCCACAGAGGTTTGTGTTTGTGTCTGCAGAAGGATTTAAAAAATCCTACTGTAGATGATGAAAAACATTGTTATTACAAGAAATCTGAAGTAAATAACTAGTTGTTCTTGTCGCATGTCTTAAAAAAGGAAGAGAAACCAGAGTTCATTGTGAGTTATCAAAGGTTTATTATTTTCCATCTCTGTTTCTTCAGGTGAAGCAACATCAGTCTGAGATTCTGCAGTTTCTGGATGCCAAGAAGATCAAGTACTTTGCTGTGGACATCGCAGGAAGCGGTGACTTGAAGGAGGAGATGAGGAAGAAAGTGGGAAACCCCTCAGCGATGC